AGTTTGTTTTAAAAAAACAAGGCTCGTTTCTGCATTTTGTTACAGACATTTGGATCTTCAAACTACTGTCAGTACCTGAGCTGTAGCCAGACGTCTGGCGGATGTACGCACGGGTTTAAACCGCCGGCAGATGGCACTGACTGCGACACAAATAAGTGGTGCATCCAGGGCTCATGTGTTGACAAAAGTGCCGCCCTGCCACAGTCCCACGGCGACAGCGGTGAGACAACATCGTGGTGCCCATATGGTAAGTCTGTGATGGTTTTAGAGGGGATCAGGGTGGTCCTGACCCCCCCCTTCGATTTCTGGTCCCCTCTTGATATTAGAATTTTGACTTGATGAATCATACTTCTTAACCGTACCAAATGGCACCGTTCGCCCTCTAAAATATCAAAAATATTCGGGGACCTTCATTGGGCCCCGAATCTCACGCTAAGTAGGAGGGGGGGGGGTCGGCTTTGCATCCACAAAATTTGTTTCTCGAGCGACCGCGAGAACTTTCGTTATGATGTGGACAACAAAAGGTTCGGTTACGGTGAAATAGATTTTCAAAAACAGTGGACAATGTTTATCCGATAGTATTTTTTTCTCGTGTTGGCAAGAAAAAGCTTTTTTTGTAAATTAAGTTAAAGGACATACTTTCCAGCCAATAATACAGTAGTGCCCATCAATGGTCTTTCGTATAGATGGATACATGGGGGTGCGGGCACTCCATTTCCAGCTCGTGTACCTAGTAGAGTGTAATTTTACAGCATGTTTAAAACAAAGCAACCTTTCAACCACCAAAAAAAACATCAATTTAAAATTGATTTATTTATATATAATGTATTTATTTTCAGGGTGGCCCGGTGATCTGTGCACTGATGGGGACGCTTCGTTAATTAACGTCGGCCAGGGATGGGAAAATTGCAAAACAGCCATCACCCGAGATGGCGACACTTTGTGCGCCAACGCTCAAATCAAGGCTTCCGGTTTCTGTTGCATCCAGTGTTACTACCATGAGCAATCTAAATTGACAGGTATATACGAGAAACCAGGCCCGTAGTCAACAAATTCAAAAGAGGGTAACGGGTTCTTTTATCGAAAAAGTGGACCTTTGACAATGAAACTTTTGTGCACCTAGAACAAATTTTACCCATAATGGACCTTTCCCTGACAAAAAGGGTGTTTTTTTTTTCGAACCCCCGAATCACTTCTTGCTACAGACCCGAGGAAATGTATTTATATAATTATTCATTTTTTAATTAATCAATTTATTTATATTGAAGGTACTTGGAATGATTGGGGCCAGTGGAGCGGATGCAGCGCCACCTGCGGGGGAGGTACACGCACGCGCACCCGTACATGTCCAACTGGTCAAAATTGCGCCGGTGACAGTTCACAGACTGAAGGATGCAATGCAAACGCTTGTAAGTCATGTTTTCAAGGATGACCTTTTAAAATCTTAAAGCGTAAAGCAGTTACATAATTCCAGTACATGTAGCTATACAAAGAATGCGGACATTAATGCAAAGACGTGCAAAATCACAATCACAAAGATATAATTTTAGAATATTAAACTATTACTTATCCAAATTTGCGTTAGCATAAGACAGTTAAATAATGCCAGTACACGTACCTATACAAACAATGTGGACATACCAAAGACGTGCACAACCACAATCACAATCACATAGACCTAATTTTATAATCTTAAACTATTATCCAAATATGCGTTTAAGTAAAACAGTAGAATAATACCAGTACACGTACCTACACAAACAATGTGAACATACCGAAGACGTGCACAATCACACGCGGTCCAGCTATATGTTAAAATGCCTTAATTTTCTTGAAGGTGGAACCTGGTCTGACTGGTCTGCCTGGACCACGTGCACTGTCACGTGTGCTGGCGGAAGTCAGACAAGATCAAGGACATGTAATGGCGGAAGTGACTGTCCTGGAAGCGCTACCGAATCTCAGGACTGTAACACCGGTGCTTGCCCTGCTAGTGAGTATACTAGGGATATATTAAGGGAATAAGATTTTTATTTCAAAGATTTTTTCAAAGTGTGGAAATCCTGCCCAAAATTAACCCACTTATAATAATAATAATAATAATAATAATAATAATAATAATAATAACTTAAAATGCTTGAAAAATATAATACACAGTAATCCACCATTTATAATGGTTTGGAATATACTGTCCTGAAAATTACCACACATGCCTGTTGTCGATATTGTGCAGAAAATATTTTGAAAGGGTGCCTGTTTTAATATGTGCTATAGTACACGTATACAAAGACAATTGGCTTTTTAGCCCCAACTTGGACCCAGTGGGGTGCCTGGACCTCGTGTTCAGCTTCATGTGGTGGAGGAACCCAAACTAGAACGAGGACATGTGACGGAGGGAGCTCATGTGTTGGCGACAGCTCAGAATCCCAGGACTGCAACACCAACGATTGTACAAGTAAGACGTTCTATCTGATTATTACAAGTGTATGTGTACGTATGGAGAAAAATTTCCAGGAGCTGTTATGTTTTGTATAAGTTTCTTTTTATAGGGTAAGTGATGTTATAGACGGTTTTTATTTGCACATCTCACATTGTAAAATGGGATTTATTACCTCCGTGCAAGAAGGCCTATAAAGTATATATTTTCAACTACTGACATATCTTAAATATTTAAGTATTCGTTCCTAAATTAAATGGGCATATCTGTTGTTTCTTTTCAGCCTCCGCTTGGGGAGAGTGGGGTTCCTGGTCCACGTGCACAGTCACGTGCGGTGGTGGAACTCAGACAAGAACGAGAACTTGCGAAGGAGATGGCTCGTAAGAATCAAGGCTTTAATGTTGTTAAATAGTATAATTTTGTTGGGGGCATTCTTCCCTGTGCACCAAGAGAGGGATATATACTAGTTAAAGACAATAAATGTGGTTTCCTTCACCATTCTACCAGTATATATGTTTTCTCTGGCTACCTGCTTATTAGTCTCCCTACAATTTTTTATACTCTCTGCACATTTAATTACCATAACTGTACAATTGTCATTTAATGTTTCTTCGAGTGCTTTACTAAGATATTGTGACCTTGGCCTTACTGAACAGACATTTGACCATTTGTACAAGATAAAAGTAAGTTCGTTATGAAGTGATCCACATAATAAATGCACATTCTGGTGGTAGAGTACGTAAATAGGCTCTAATGGTTAGAAGAGGAACAAGAAGAAAAACAGTATTGTTAAGAAAAATATTTTTGTCAGTAATATATTTTATGGTTATTTTTATGTTTTTAATGTCTTTTGTCCATTTTAATTAGTTTTGAATCTATGTTAGTGAATTTTGGTTTTAC